AAGGGCCATTACTTACTCAAGAACAAAGGCTGCTACTATATAAAGAAATTACTAAACTGGAAGTGTTTGGGGGGCTAAAAGGAATAGGAGATGATAAGGCTCCGGGGATAGATGGATATAATGCTGTGTTTTTCAAAAGAGCATGGCACATTATTGGCAGTGAGGTGACTACAGCAATACAGGATTTCTTCTCAACAGGAAGATTATATAGAGCTATTAATTGTATAGCCATCACCTTGATACCCAAGGTAGATAATCTAGCAACAATCAAAGAGTATAGACCAATAGCATGCTGCACAGTATTATACAAACTAATTTCAAAGATCTTGGCAGCAAGAATGCAGAAGGTAATTGAGGGGATTATATGTGAAGCACAAGCTGGTTTTGTCCCAGGCAGGAAAATAGGTGATAATATTATATTGGCTCATGAACTAGTAAAGGGATACACAAGGAAACATATATCACCAAGGTGCATGATTAAAATAGACATACAAAAGGCTTATGATTCAGTAGAATGGAGCTATTTGGAACAGAATATGAGGTTGATAGGATTCCCTGAAAGATTTATAACTTGGGTGATGGAATGTGTTAAAACAGTGAATTATACTATTATGGTGAATGGAGAGCCAACTGATCCTTTCAATGCTGAGAAGGGACTTAGACAAGGGGGTCCTATGTCTCCATTTCTATTTGCAATTGCAATGGAGTACCTAAGTCGAACCTTAAAGGAAATGGCAGAGAGGAAGCAGTATCATTACCATCCCAGATGTGCCAAATTAAAATTAACTCATTTATGTTTTGCAGATGATCTTTTAATATTTCCTAGAGTACATGTTTAATCAGTAACTGAGGTTCTTCAAAGTTTTAATCAATTCTCAGATGCCTCAGGATTGCAAGCAAACATAGGGAAAAGCTCCATCTATTTTGGAGGGGTGGGACAACAAGACCAAGAGCAGATACTGCAAACACTGGGATTTACGAGAGGAATGTTACCTTTCAAATACCTGAGAGTTCCACTGTCAACTAGGAAGCTAACAATGATACAATGGAAGCCCTTCATTGAGAAGATTGTAGTAAGAATCACTTCATGGACAGCCAAAAAATTGTCATATGCAGGAAGAAGTCAATTGATAAGTAGTGTTTTGTTTGGAGTCCAGTCCTATTGGGACCAATTGTTCATATTGCAACAAAGGTGATGAAAGCTGTGGAAAGTTTTTGTAGAAGCTATCTTTAGACAGGTAACAATGTCATTACAAAGAAAGCACTCATCAGTTGGGAAAGAGTTTGCTATCCTAAAAGCAGTGGAGGATGGAACCTCATTAATATGAGAATCTGGAACAAGGCAGCCATAATCAAACTGTACTGGAATTTGGCAAAGAAAGAGGATAGGATGTGGATAAGGTGGATTCATGCATACTATATGAAAGGACAACAAATGGAGTAAGTGAAAGTTCCACAACAAGCAAGTTGGATGGTGAGGAAAATAATAGAAGCCAAACATCTACTAGAACAGAACAATGTACATATTTGTAGGGAAAAAAGGGTCATTAAACATATATACCTTCAGCTACTAGGTGATCAACCAAGAATACCATGGAAGTGTTTGATGTTTGGGAATGCTGCAAGGCCAAAAGCTAAGTTCACTGTGTGGTTGCAAATGCAGAATAGGCTACTAACTGCTGACAGGTTGAACAAATGGGGAATACAGGTAGAAGGCAAATGCAGTTTATGCCAGAAAGAAGAGGAAACAAGAGACCATCTCTTTGTGGAGTATGATTATACAAAAAAAAGTGATGCAAAAGCTGATGCACTGGACACAGAATCAAAATATAGCAGCAGCTACCTGGGACCAACATGTGCATGAGGTGATCAAGAGAGCTAAAGGCAAATCAAAGGAAGCTCAACTATTCAAGATGATATATTCTGAAGTAGTACATAGTATATGGATTGAGAGGAACAGAAGAATTTTTGAGAAAACAAGTACAGGATGGGAGAGGATAGCCAAAGAGATAGCTTGTGTTTGTTGTGTACGAGCTCCTCCTAGAATAGTTGATATAGTACAAAGATATAGATTTTAAAAAAAATAGGAAGAGTAAGAGCATCATGTAAATATGATAGTTTTAGCTGTGTTAGCTAGCTATTGTAATTTGTAAAGTTTACTGGTGATTAATAAAAAGTTAGTTACCAAAAAAACTAAGACTTTTTTCTGCTAATTATATGAGTGTGTTGTTATATCATGCCAAATAGCCAAAATCCCCTTTTAAAAGGGGTTAGCATGTTTGTGCTTCACTCCAAGGCTCATATGCAATTTACTTGACTCGTTGGAGGTCGTGTCAAGGTCTAGTACAATTGAGTCCATAATGGTGTCCTAGTTATTAGCCCACGTTGGAGTAACGAATTAGGCAGAAATCATGTAATCAATTTCAGCCAATCATCTTCATCACTATTAATCTAACGTGAACCTATTATATGACTTAAAACTGTAAATTGTGTTCATGTATTAAATCACGACATTATCTTCATAGTTTAATCAGCAACTAATTCCAAGTTACCACGAATGTATTATAAATTCTTTTCACTAAGGCTAGAACCTTCAACCTGCATCTGCGGTTGTTTTATCCACAATATAATCTCATAATTCCGAGACCTTTCCACAAAAACCTCAAACCTTTTAAAAAATAATTTAATCAACCTATAAATATTGGTAGGGTGTTTTAGGCGCGTTTAATTTTATTATCGTGATTGTGTACACGTTCGCGTGACATAATTACGATTCCCAAAATAAATCAAGGAACGCATCGTGCGACTTTGGCCAAACAATCTGAACAATAATTACGTGTTATCAATTGTTTACACGTACGCGTGACATGATTTTTGACATAATAAATCAAACGGTTTCACACACATCTGATCCGTTTCAAAAAGATAACTCCATAAACGCCATAAATTAAAGTGGTAAAAGGTAAAATACACAAAGGTTCTAAAGATATATAATTAAACGATTAATTAAGCCAGGTATGATTAATGTGACCGTGCTAAAACCACGGAATCCGGAAATGCCTAATACCTTCTCCCGGATTAACAGAATTTCTTACTCGGTCTTCTGTGTTTCGCGGACTGTAAATAGAGTCAATTTCCTCGATTTGGGATTTTAAAATAAACTGGTGACTTGGACACCATAATAATTATTCCAAAGTGGCGACTCTAATTAAATAAATAATCTCATTTCGATAATATCACTTTAATTGGAAAAACTCCTTATCTTCGGGAAAAGGGGGTGTGACATGTATTATCACTTTTAGCTCGCGTCAGAAACTCTCTCTCTCTCTCTCTCTCTCTCTCTCTCTCTCTATATATATATATATATATATATATATATATATATATTATACATATTTTTGGCTATTATTTTTACAGCGACTATACAGTGTCAATCGACAGTCTGAAGTGTTTATTACCTGCTAGGATCAAATAAAGGTGGCTATTTGTGGCAACTCTGACTCTCGAATTCAATTTTGCAAAGTCGTACGAGCTAAAAGTTCTGCTACAAATTTGATTGAATTTAATAGCTTTTGTTCAAACAGTATATTTGTATTAAAATTTATTTATTATGGATAAATAATAAATTTGAAATTCATCTATTAGTATTTAAAGTTATCGTTCCAAAATTCAGAACTTATAAAGTTAAAATTCTGACTCCACTTTTACATACGAGTAAATGTATCAATTTTGATATATTTGACTATAAAACTTAAATAGGTGATTTCCGGTCATCTATTTAAGCCTCAATGAATAGAGTTATTGTTACCTAACCGAAATAGCATGTACTTGTGAAATGGGACCTTTTCATATATATACAAGATTTTAAACTTATTTATCCGATTTTGTCTAAGTTTTCATATTTACATGAAGTAACAAAAGTTTTTTACAAAATATATACAAATTCGGTCAATCTACAATTTATCTACTACATAAATATACATTATGTTGTACAGAATCCGGTAAAAAACTATAATTTACATATAATTTATATACAACTTATATACAATTATGTAAGTTGTAGATATTTTGTATACTGTTTCTATATTCGACATACAAAAATATATACAATTTGTTCATGTCTTCTTTTTCGAGTTTCAATATGAAATTTCAACCAAACCCACCACGAATCTTCACCAAATTGTCTCAAATTTGAGATATAAACTCCAACGGATATTCCCAATCATTTGCAACAACACCTAATCCAAACAAAAAATAATTTCATAAAATTTCATTTTCGAATTCAAAGCTTTGAAGCTTTTTAATGGCTATCAATGGAGTTTTTAATGGATTAACATAGTTTTTAATTCAATCTACTCGCTTCTAATTAATACTACTTTATTTATTGATTCCAAAAAGCTAAAAGAATGATAACTAAAATGATTCTCTTCATCAGAGCTAATTTCTTTTTTATTTAGTTCGTCGTTTTCATAGGATCTGAAGCAAGAACTTTGCTAGGTACTAATCTTTTTTTTTCCCACTTAACATTAGTATCATTTCTTCAGTTAATCCACATGAAGCTATTAATATAAGAATACTGATAGAGAATGGGAGAGAGACAGAGACAAAGACAGACACCGAGAGAGCGAAGAAGGAATTCCCTATTCAATTTCTATATAATGGAATACTCATTAATACTAATTTGTATATAATTAATAAATTGTATATCAACTTATAATTAAGTTAAAATTTAAACAATAAGGGTAAATAAATTTCTAATATAATAAATATAGGTAAAAAAACCCCTATGAAATTTGGTCGAAATATAGCAACCTCATTCGGACATCACAAGTATTAAAAGGAACATCTATCAAACTAAAATATGCAAAACTTAAGACTAAAGGAAAGGTGTGACAAAGCAAACAATCCAGTCACATCCCTCTTGCCACGTGTAATCAACGTGTCCAGTGTGTCCAAAGCAAGGTATAAATACAAAACCAGAAATAGAATCACGTAAACGGTTACACAATTTAAAACCCTCCATGCTGCGTCGCTTGCCTCGCCATCGCCAACTCACCTTTCTCAACTCGACCGAGTCAAACCGGTTCAACACCTTCACCGGCTCAGCTCACCGGTTCAATCTCTCCGAGCTAAATATTCCGTCGTAATCCCTAGCGGAACTCTAAACTATAAATCATTCTCAACAACCGGGAGCCGTACGCCGGCTAAAATGGGCTCAATTCCGATGACGGCGTCGGTGCTGGAGGATTTTGTTCACGTTGATGGAGGAGGAAGTGCTAATTCGAGTGTAGAAGGCTCGGAGGCGAGTATTGAAGAGGTAACTTCGGCGAGTGTAGAAATGACAGCAGGTAGCCGCTTTGAGCACCCTTATTTAAATATAAGTTGATTTTGAGGCGGCTAAAATTTGAATAATTTCGGCTAAAAACGGCTAATTGTGCAGGTGAAGGAGAAGGATATGAAAGGAAGGTTTTGCCGGACGGATTGTCGAGGATTGTAATGAAGCTCACTTGTGAATCTTCTACGGATGGAGGCATTTGTGATGTATATGTTGTTGGCACTGCTCACGTTTCTGCGGTAAATTCCCTACTTCTTTAATCGTTTTATTAGAAATAATCGCAGAATAGAGGAAATTGAGTGAGCAATGTCCATATTCATCCTTTATAAGTTTATTTCATGCAACTAGCAATCACAAAGAGAGGTGAAAAGTAAAGTGTCAAGAGCGAATGTTTTACATATTTTTCGTCTTTTAAGTTGAAGGAGGTGATAGAAATCGTATTATCTTTTTGGTTTGTTGCAATTATTAGGTAATTCTATTAGCATTATCTTATAAGGAGGTCCAGGTGATTTTTGTATTCACACTTCAAGAACTTTTTTACGGCATAAAGTTTCTTAAGTCTAGAATTTTGTTTTGATATAATTCATGCTTCCCGTAGTAGAGACTGAATCAGTAGTTCATCAGAAAGTTTCTTAAGTCTAGAATTTTATTTTGATATAATTCATGCTTCCCGTAGTAGAGAATCAGTAGTTCATCAATAATTGTTTGCTGAAATGATGCTCTAACAACATAGGATTGTTAGATATCTTGTGAGCATTGCTTGAGATGTCTTTTAGTCTTGGATTTGACTCAGCACCTGCTGTACATGGCTAAATTGAAAAATATAATTGAAAATTCTTAAAGTTGAATGGTAGAAGACGTGATATAAAGTGATTTTGATTAAGTTCCCATGCCTCTATAAACTTTTCTCTTTGCAAACTGAGCTTGTATGAATATGTACTTTCTCCATTTTTCGTGCCTCATCTTTCCTATTTGCTCCTTTCTCTTTGCTTAGGTGGTATGATATAGATTTTTTATTGGGTTAATCATTCATATTAAAGAAAAACATGTTATAAAACAGACCGACTTATAAAGGGTGTATGATCATCTTACTTTACTATGCATGGTTACAGGAATCCTGCCAAGAAGTTGAAGCAGTGATCAATTTCTTGAAACCAGAGGTCATATTTCTAACAATCTGTTGATGCATAGCAGCTTGTGGTGCATGCTATATATTTCAATCCTTTTTACGTTTTGAACATCAGTCTGATTCATGCTGGGTTGTTGATGATAGGTTGTCTTCTTGGAGTTATGCTCAGGTCGAGTGGGTGTACTCACACCTCAAGATTTAAAGGTCAGTCTTACAATCAGTAGGCACTCTTTTTATCATTTCAGTAGTCATGTAGTTTGCACAGAACTTTGGGAAACAGAGAATTTATTCGTGTTAGGAGAAAATCCAGCAGTTGGTAGCTAGTGTTATAAGTATTGGAATTGTTTATTCTGTTAGCAGGCTTTCCTTTTTTATCATTTCAGAATTTACGTAGTTTGCAGAAACTTTGGTAACAGAGAATTTGTTCGTGCTAGGAGAATATCCAGCATTTTGGGTAACTAATGTATAAAGGTGTACATATTTAGCACATACAGACATATGTAGACAGCATATGTTCGTGTCTAACTGGTGTCATTTTTGATTTGTCTCACTTTAGTACTTCATATATACATGTTAGATTGCCATTTTTCTCTCTCTCTGATCTTTTGCAATTTGTTTATTTATTAGAAGTTTTAGGTTTAAACATGTCTGTCCTGACTTTACTAAGGCATATCAAGCCCATAAGAGTAATTCATGTTCCAGTGGACTGGCCATGAGTCATGGAAAAAGTCCAGATACATTCAAGGAATCAAGGGTGTATCAGATGGTGGGTATGTTGTTATGTCATCTCGGTCATGGACACAGATGAAAAGTGAAATGACCTTTTGGTATAAGCTATGCCAGAGAACACAATTCTCTGTCTCTCTCGCTCTTCGGTGCATATGTTTTTTCGGCATCATGGTATTAATGTCTTAATTGGCAGACATATCAAACACCTACTTTTTCTAAATTTCTATGTTATAGAAACAAATAAGCATATTCTGTGATCCTGTCCTTGCTTGATTTATCATTTATTTGAATAGTTTCATGTTACCTAGTGTTTGTATCATTTAGCTGTATTACTTTGTACCGTGCGAGATGTTATAGTGGATCTTCACTTTCTCCTCTTCAGGTGAGCTACTAATATTCTCAATTCTGAGATGGCCAGGTACCAACCATGGGAGAAATGGTGGAGATGTGGAAGAAAAATCAAAATCCATTTGGGATACTGTACAGCTGGTTTCTCGCCAAGGCATGACCTATCTCAAAAGTCTATCTTTACAGTTTGGAAGTGCTGCTTTGCTCCTTACCATTGGTGCTCTGGACATGCTGATCACTCATTGGATCTATGTTTCGTTTTAGGTTGCTAGCAAGCTTGAGGTATTTCCTGGGGCAGAGTTTCGTGTGGCGTATGATGAAGCAATGAAGTACGGTGGGAAAGTGATTCTTGGTGACCGTCCTGTGCAAGTAAGATGTTTTGATTCATTCCATTGTTGAATTTTTGTTTACTTGTGTGTCTTAAAGTTGTCACATGCATCCCTTCTGTAATTGGATAATATTTTTACATCGCCACATATCTCTTGTGATCATGGCACTATTGAGGTTGCTTTCATGTTGTGTCTGGTGAACATCAGAGTTGCTAAAGTAGAAACGTATCGTCCCTTCTCATCTCTCTCGTTCTTTTTGACACACTAGAGTACCACTTTCATGGAGTGCAGGATCTGTATAAAAATATGAAGTTTCTTAATGCTTTTATGATGTTATCAGCTTACAATTACACTTTCTTTGGTAGTGTTTTCTACCTGAAAAAAGAAGAACAAAGAAACAGTTTCGCATATTCACTGTTCCTGCTCTCTATCGTAAGTTTTCCTTCTGTTTTTCCGTTTAATGAATTGTTGTTTCTATTTTATGAACAGGTGACATTACGAAGAACATGGGCAAAAATGCCACTTTGGCACAAGACAAAATTGTTATACTCTATATTATTCCAAGCAGTGTTTTTACCGAAGCCTGGAGATCTCGTCAAAATGGTAGGTTCCTTGCATAAGATTTTATGAGGTTGCCTCTCTCTGCATAAAGTAATTTGATTTTTGAAGAAGAGTATCTTATGTTGCTTATACCAAACTACTTTTTGGCGAGCAGTTGAAGAAAATGGATGATGTTGACATGTTGACTCTTGTAATTCAAGAAATGAGCAAGAAGTTCCCAACTCTTATGGATACCCTAGTTCATGAGCGAGACCAGTTAGTGCCCTCTTGACCTTCGACCCCTACCCCCAAAACCCCCCCCCCCCCCCCCCCCCCCAAAAAAAAAAAAACAAAAAAAAACCCACATGCATGGTCTGTTGGTATGATACAAGTTCGGCCTGCTGCTTTCTTGTTTTATGGTTTTGTTTTGTGAATTCAAGGTGTTATGAAATCTGTTTTTACTGGCTTTGAGTTTGAACTCAGGCACTTACTGTCAAGTTTGGTATCTGTACTTAGGATTTTAGAATTATATGGCTTTTGTCTAAGTTATTCCAGATCAAAACTTTGAGAATACACTGATTAATTGCTTCATATGTCTTTGGATATTTCTCTTAGTTTGATATGGATACATTTTGTTATAGGCTGTTCGACGATGCCTTTTCATATGTACTTGTATAATCAGAATTAATATGAGTACAGGGACTCATATATTTGTGCAAGGTCTAGAGCATGAGGGTGGTGCTCTATCTCTCAGTTGTGCTCATTTAGTGATAGGGATAATGAGAGAGTTTTCCCCAGGAATCCTCCGCGCTTCATGCTTATCATTTCCTTTGCTCACTTCTACTTTTCCCTGAGCTTCATTGCTTATTACTTCCTCCATTCACTTCTAGCTTTCCCAAGGAAAAAGGCACTGTTGCTCTAGTATATTCCTTAGTCTTGAAATATCAATGTCTGATGGTGGCACAACTAACCCCCCACCCCCACCCCCACCCCCCCCAAAAAAAAAAAAAGAAAAAACCAAAAGAGAAGGTGGTAACAAGAGAAAAGTCGTTGACATACTAACTTATGATCGTTTGCTGGGACTAAGGAAAGATGATACAAAGTTTATCAGCTTATTTAAGCTTAAATGTCATCAGTCTTCAGCTTATTCAGCTACAGAATGGTAATTTAGAAGTCCAATCTTGGCACAAATTAGTTCATTTGTCTAATTAAACAGGCTAATGGTAACTTCATTCTTCCCGCCTTGCAAATAAAAACAAAAGTACAAAGAGTGATTGAATCGACATTTTGGTTTTGACCTTTGACAGTCTTGAAAGTGATTACTTGTTCCGTTTAACAAATCTGAAGAATCCCCCCCCCCCCCCCTCTCTCTCTCTCTCTCTCTCTCTCTCTCTCTCTCTGCAGGTTTATGTCATCAATGTTACTAAAAGTTGCCCGTGAACACAACTCTGTTGTCGCAGTTGTTGGTAAGGGTCACCTGCCAGGAATCAAGAAGAACTGGAAGCAACCTATTGAGGTAACAAGCATTTAATCATACAATATTAGTAAGACTTGAATGCGCTCTGTTGTGCATTGAGAAATATATGAATTGCTTTCCTATTTGCTTAGTTTCTAAGACTTAACTTCTGGAAGGAACATAGTTTACTGATTCGCTGCCACAGGTTAAGGAACTGCTATCAATACCCTCGCGCAAGCCTGTCATTACTGTCGCGAAAGTTTTGACAACCATTGGAGCTGCAGTTGCAGGAGTGACCATAATATCTTGCATCTATGTTTCAAGCAAGAAATAATCATGAGAGATGTCTCAGATGTATGTGTCTTGGCTTCCAATTTAGACAACACCGAGGCTAATCTATTGCGACTTTCAGCATCTGAGGTGGCCTGTACATTGCTACTGTTCTTCTACATTTTCAGCAGTTGAGGGTCATTACATTGAGGAAAGGGAAATTGTCATTTTGCAAATTTTCCTATGGACATCAGAGGAAGCTTTTCTAAATTCTAAAAAATTGCATGCAGAGCGATAATAAGAAGTAATTTTCCCATAGCCCTTAACTTGTTCAATGCACATCTTTTGTGATCATCCCCCCTTCCTCTCCAAATTACTTGATCTCGCTGTTTCTGTCTTCCGAAAATGGTGCGTTGGCTCCTCACCTTGTTCTCTAATTTGAAATATTTAGCTTGTCATTTTGTTATGCAGCAGAATCTTGGTCATATAATAGAGCCACATAAATTGAACACAAGTTTAAGTAGTTGCAGTCCTCCATTTGCCCGGTACAGAAAGGTATACAATGGACTTTTGGCTGTTCAACATATTGTGAGGCCCATATATTGGGCAGATATATCAAATCCCCGTCCCCTAATTTCCAGTTGTAGTTTTCTTCAATCACTTCAGCACCAGTGTTGTCAAAGGCACGCTTAAGCCCTGAAGCGAGGCTCAAAATACGTTGAGCGCTTCGCCTCGCTTTGTGGGCGTTTTAGTGTCGCATCAAAGCTCTAACGCATACTTTTCCAATGAGTGTAATCCTGAAAAGGCGACCTTAAACAACTGATATTTTACTTTATCATGAATTTTTTTCAATTTCTTTGTCCATATATTTGTTATTCATGCTTATAATGATTAGTCTTGGATTACTATGCATATTTTTACTTTTTTCTCCCGTTGCGCCTTTTTTCATTAGAACTCACGCTTTGTTTGTGCTTTGCGCTTAAAGCCTCAACGGACCTTAGAGCTCTTCTGCGTTGTTCGCCTTTGATAACACTTTTTAGCACATTAGACAGCCTTTCGGTCTTGGGTGCAGAATTGGCCTTCCAATTTGGCTGAGTTGAAATCGAACATTACGATAAACTAGCAATAGAGGTAATCTGATATCGGGAGCAACCCTCTTTCCTTTTGGGTTTTTGGCAGGGGACTTGAAGTCAGTAGTAGCTAGTTTAACCTGAGGAGAATGTCTTCATTAGGTCCACATTGGCACGGATTGCTTGATTATCTTGTTCATTTGGCCCAGATTGTCGCAAAATTGTGCTATTAGCTACCAGTGGGGAAATAGCAGAAGAGCAGTTTTTGATTTGGATTTTTTCCTTCCTATATAATATTTGAAAATTATTTACCAAAATTGTTCTAATTTTGTATGTTACCCACCCTAAATAAGGATTACTTACAAATTATATTTCAGTCCATTATTAGTGGCCTTAAATTAGTGGATTTAGTTATATTATTTTTCTTTTTTCTCTCCTCTCCTCTTTCTTCACTACCGATTCTCTCATCAATTTTTCTTTCTTCATCACTCTCTCTCAACGTGTTTCTCCCTCAATAAGGTAAGCCTGCTAATCAACCTATTGAAGTAACCTCACTGGTTTACCCTTTTCTCTTTTACATTGCTACCTACTAAGTATGGAACTTTAACAGTGCAAGAATGTTATTGAATTCAAACTTGTGACACTTCGATTTGTATTGTGCTCTCTTGAATTCTACAACTTTCATACATTATTTTTACCCAGTTAAAATACATCTACAACTTAAACGCAATGTTCATACAAATTTTATACGATATGTCTTTTGTATATTTTGTATCTGACTTGTATATATTTTGTAAGTGGTGTGTGTTTCTTCCTCTCTAAAATTTCAATCAAAACTCTCTCATAATACAATTTTGATACATAGTAAAAAGATAGTATTGATAACTTAAATATAAATTTTATACAACGATGCATACATTATGCAATTATTTTTCGACTTTCACACAACATTCAAATAAAGAAAAATATAACTACAATGGAATACAATTTATATACAATTATACTACAACTTTACTACAATTTCGTAAGTATATGTATGTCATGTGTTCTTCGTTCAACCAAAATCAAATCTAATTTTCACCAAATACCTTCAAAATTAAGATATAAATTCAAAATAATATTCCCATTGTTTACAACAACATCCACTCCAAACAAATAATGATTTTTAAAAATCAAATTTGAGTCAAAGCTTCAAAGCTTTTTAATGGCTGTCAATGATGGAGAATCAAACACCTTCAAAATTTATTGATTGACAATTTCAATTTGAACATCAATTGTGCAACATGAAAGGAAATTGCTAAGTGAAACTCTTTGGTAAAACGATTGAAATTCATTGATGAATTTCATTAAAAATATATACAACATGGAAGGATAAAAAATAGAGAACATCAGAGGGAAAAAAATTGGGGAAAGAACAGAGAGAGAGAGAGAGAGAGAGAGAGAGAGAGAGAGAGAGAGAGAGAGAGAGAGAGAGAGAGAGTAGGAGAGAGAGAGAGAGAGAGAGCGCACAGGAGGGAGAGAGAATAAGGATGGAAAATAATTGATTCTTTATTCAATTTCTAATATAAAGAAATACCCATTTAATTCCTAAAATATATATAATTGGTAAATTGTATATGCAATGTAATTAAATTGAAACTTAAGTAGGGAGGGTAATAAAATTTCAAATAGTGAATAGGAAGGTAAAAATCCCTTTTATTTGCTATTGTTATTGACAAGATTTAGAGGTGTTTGGCTAAGCTTATAAGCTGGTCAAACTAGCTTATAGCACTTTTCGCCTTATCTACGCGTTTTGTAAAGTTAAAAGTGCTTATAAGTCAAAAATAAGCCAAAAGTAATAAGCTGGTCATCCCCAGCTTATGAATTTTTAGCTTATAAGCACTTTAAGTTTGATCAAGATTTTTACTATTTTATCCTTAAAATTTTCCGTGTTAGAACAAAACTCCTACATCGATATTCGTCGCCTCAAGTATTTTTTGTAAGTGATGTGGTGATGAAGACAGTGTTTGTTTCTCTTTAAATATTTTGTCCTATTTTGGTTTATTTTTTACGGAGAAATTTTTGTCAATTTATTAATTATTATAATCTATGATTATATGCTTATCATAAAATAAATTATATTTTTCATAAAAAGTATCTATCTAAGCACAGTTGTATTTAAAGAAAAATGACAAATAGAATATTTTGTATTTGAATCGATTTGGAATCTAAAATATTAAACAAATTACGCCCTTACAAGCGTAAACAGTTCTAAGGTTATTTAAGTCATTTTAAGAAAAAGAGCTTATCAGCACTTTTTTATCAAATGCTGCAACAACTTATTATCAATTTCAACACTTGTACCCAAACACGTAACTGATTATTTATTAAATCAATTTCAGCACTTAAAAGTGCTTTTCAACACCTAATGCTTATCAGCTACTTCAAATCAACTAATCCAAACTAGGGCTGGGCATATATCGGGTAAAACCGATAGCCCGAACCGAAAAAAGCTTATTGGGTTATCGATATCGGATTATTGGAGTAACGATACGGTAACGGTTTAGTGTTATTTTACTATTGGGTTATCGGTTCGGGTCTCGGTTGCCTAATTTTATTAACGGTTTAACCAATAACCCAATAAACTTTGTAAAAATATGATTTTCCCTTACGTATGTAAATTTTCAGTTCTCCCAATTCTCTATCCAGTGTTGTAACCCTCCCAAATTTGTCATTCAACACATAGAAAAACAATATTGTATGGTTTATCATTTTTTCGAGAGGGTTTACAACAGTAAAGAAAGTTTATCATATTCTTTATAAGGTACACATTATCCTTCGTTACTTCTTCCCTCTAGAATCTAGATTGAGTTATCTTATCGGGTAAACCGATAACCGAACCGATAACGATCGATAACCGATTAACCGATAACCGATAACCAATATCTTATCGGTTCGCTATCGGTTTAGCATATTTATAAACCGATAACCGATATGCCAAACCGATAACATTCACAACCGAACCGAACCGACCGATGCCCACCCCTAATCCAAACGGGCTCTTATTTGGGATACAATAGTTGGCGCAAGCGGAAAATGTAAGCTTGCGTTCCCAGGATTTGCAATGTCACAGCCTCACAGGTATATAGATCCATTTGTTAGGCAGTAGACTGCATTGGAGGTTTTTTTTCTCCTTTTTTTGTTTTGTTTTGTTTTTGTTTTTGCCTTTGTGGTTTGATGCTTCTTTTTAAACCTTAGACTATCCCAAACTCATTCTTCCTCAATCATTTTTTGGCATCAGTTAGGCTCTTAAACTGCCATTGTGGTGGTGTTATTTTTCATGTAGGATTTTGTTTGCTAACCTAGTACTGTCACATTTGTTCCAATATTATATATGCCTGAAAACTATTTTTTTTTAATTTTCTGAATAAAATTTATTTACTCTATAGGTAAGTTCATAATATAGAATAAAAAGAAAAAAAATATAATATCAAGAAAACTTAAAAAAGATAAAGGTTAATAACTAGAAGGATAAATAGGTATTTGACCAGCGAAAATTTGAGTAATCTAATTGAGTTTAATAACAAAAGAGATAAGAGTTAATAATTTAGAGGTTAAAATAGGTATTTGACCACCGAAAGTTTAAAATTTCTATTTGAGTGACCTTTTGAGTTATAGAAATAGTTAAGTGATTTTTTTGCTGTAAACAAATAAAATACCGTATGACTTTACCAGGTAATTCCAGATAGTTAGAGTCATTATTTGCGTAATGGATTGTCTTTATTGTCTGTGATGACCCAAAAGGTTATCATTTATTTTTAAAATGAATTCTGCGTTTTGAGGCCTTAAAAATCTCTTTTAGCATCACCTCGATTTGCGTGCGCAGTCCGGGCGCGTAGCCGGAAAGCCTATATGTGAAAATTTGTGAAAAATGATAAATTTTGGGCATAAAGTGAATTAATTTGACTTCGGTCAACGTTTTGGGTAAACGGACCCGGACCCGTGATTCGACGGTCCCGGAGGGTCCGTAGGAAAATATGGGACTTGGGCGTATGCCCGGAATCGAATTCCGAGGTCCCAAGCCCGAGAAATGAATTTTTGAAAGAAATTGTTTTCTGAAAAATATAAAGGTATTTGAAAGTGAAATGTTATGTGAAACCTGAGGTATCGGGCCCGTATTATGGTTCCGGAGCCTGGTACAGATTCAATATGATTTATATGTGTTGTCGGTAACGTTTGGTAAGGAACGGAATCCATTTGACGTGATTC